CTTTGTTTTTTATCTCTTAAATTTTTAATTCCAAATACATATGTGCTTCACCCATATCTTTCATTTTAATGTTGGTGTTTAACCAATCTTTTAGTTTTAAGATTTTATTTATATCATTTTTGACACCTAAAATATCATTTACATACAAAGACAAAATAATATAATAACTTCCACTATTTCAAGTATATATATAATGATTATACTTATTTGGAACAAAATTATAAGATATAATTGCATTATAAAAAGTATGATACCATTGTCGTGAGGATTGTTTTAAGTCATATAAGAACTTATTGAATTTGTACATCTTGTCTTCTTTACCTTTAATTTTATATCTTTGCGGTTGATACATAAAAATTTCTTCTTTAAGTTCAAAATTAAGAAAAATATTCTTAATGTCCATTTGATGTAATTTTAGGTCTAAGTATACAACCAAATATATTTATATTCTTATTGAAGTGAACTTAACTGTGGAATAATAGGTTTCATCATAATTTATTCCTTTATTTTATGTGTATCTTTTAGCCACTAATTTAGCTTTACATTTATCTATAGATCCATCAAATTTAAATTTTCTTTTAAAAATTCATTTACACCCAATTGCTTTTCTATCTTTTGGTAAATCAACCAACTCCCAAACTTTATTTTTTTTTATAGATTCTATTTCTTCTTTAATTACTTCTCTCGATTTTAAATAATTAATTGAATTCATAGCATTATTTAAATCAATAGGATCATTTGGAATTTATTCACTATTGAATGCATAATAATCTTTTAAATAGGTAGGTGTATGTCTTTCTCTTTGTATTATAGTTAAAGTATTCTTGGATGAAGGCTCTTTTATTATTTGCTCTTGTGCTTGTATATTTTTATTTTTCATAGTAATTTTAAATAGCTCAATCATTTTTTCAAATTTATCTAAGTTATCTTAAAAAAAAAAAAATACATCTTTACTTTCAATGACTCTTACTGAACCATCATTATCTTGAATTATAAATCTATAGCCAAATTTTTTTTCACAATATCCAATAAAAGAATACTTCATTGATTTAGGATATAATTTTCCTCTATTAGGTTCTAAAATTTTAACATGAGCCAAAGTTCCACAAACATTTAAGTGAGAAAGACTTAGTATNTATTTACATAAAAAGACAAAATAATATAATAACTTCCACTATTTCAAGTATATATATAATGATTATAGTTATTTGGAACAAAATTATAAGATATAATTGCATTATAAAAAGTATGATACCATTGTCGTGAGGATTGTTTTAAGTCATATAAGAACTTATTGAATTTGTACATCTTGTCTTCTTTACCTTTAATTTTATATCTTTGCGGTTGATACATATAAATTTCTTCTTTAAGTTCAAAATTAAGAAAAATATTCTTAATGTCCATTTGATGTAATTTTAGGTCTAAGTATACAACCAAATATATTTATATTCTTATTGAAGTGAACTTAACTGTGGAATAATAGGTTTCATCATAATTTATTCCTTTATTTTATGTGTATCTTTTAGCCACTAATTTAGCTTTACATTTATCTATAGATCCATCAAATTTAAATTTTCTTTTAAAAATTCATTTACACCCAATTGCATTTCTATCTTTTGGTAAATCAACCAACTCCCAAACTTTATTTTTTTTTATAGATTCTATTTCTTCTTTAATTACTTCTCTCGATTTTAAATAATTAATTGAATTCATAGCATTATTTAAATCAATAGGATCATTTGGAATTTATTCACTATTGAATGCATAATAATCTTTTAAATAGGTAGGTGTATGTCTTTCTCTTTGTATTATAGTTAAAGTATTCTTGGATGAAGGCTCTTTTATTATTTGCTCTTGTGCTTGTATATTTTTATTTTTCATAGTAATTTTAAATAGCTCAATCATTTTTTCAAATTTATCTAAGTTATCTTAAAAAAAAAAAAATACATCTTTACTTTCAATGACTCTAACTGAACCATCATTATCTTGAATTATAAATCTATAGCCAAAATTTTTTTCACAATATCCAATAAAAGAATACTTCATTGATTTAGGATATAATTTTCCTCTATTAGGTTTTAAAATTTTAACATGAGCCAAAGTTCCACAAACATTTAAGTGAGAAAGACTTAGTATTGTACCTGTCCAAATTTAATACGGTGTCATTTTAGAGATGTCAGTGGACCGAAGCGGGGGCGGGGGGTGTAGTCTCCATCCCCGTACCCGCTTAAAAAAATTCCATCCATCTCTGGCTCATCCCCGTTAACAGGTATAATTTTCATCTCCATCCTCGTTCGCAGGTAAATTTTCAATCCTCGTCCTCACTTTCCCCGTACCTACCCAAGCCCAAGCTCAAGCCAACATAATCCAAAATTTTAAATAATCCAATGATATTCTAAATAATCTAACATTGCATAATTTAACATAACATATTTTAACATAACATAAACAACAAATGTCCAAAATACTACTTGAATATTTGTAATGGGAAAATTTTTTTGTCATGTAGTTTCATACCTATAATTCAATAAAGAAAATNCCGTCCTCACTTTCCCCGTACCTACCCAAGCCCAAGCTCAAGCCAACATAATCCAAAATTTTAAATAAATCCAAAATTTTAAATAATCCAATGATATTCTAAATAATCTAACATTGCATAATTTAGCATAACATATTTTAACATAACATAAACAACAAATGTCCAAAATACTACTTGAATATTTGTAATGGGAAATTTTTTTTGTCATGTAGTTTCATACCTGTAATTCAATAAAGAAAATAAAACATAAAAAACTATAATAATTGTATAAAAAATATTTATATTTACTAATAAATGTGGATGTGGATTTCAGTATTAACAATAGGGCTGGTTCTATAAAAACTAGGGAACTTAGCTAGGTTGGTGGAGGCTAACATGCATTCCCATAGTCATAGGTGCAACTTCAACTTTGAACATATATTTAATTATATATATATNAAGACATCAAATCTATTCTTTAGTAAATATATATAGTCATATCTTGAATAGTAATTAGTAAAAGTAATAAAATATTTCATACCACAATGGTTTTGACACAAATATTCGAATGTATCAATTATAACAAATTTTTAGCTCTTTCTAATTTTCCAAATGACTTTCTAATCATTTTTTTCATTTGTATAAGATTCACATGGTTTCAAGTTAATATCTTCAGACCAAAAAAAAAAGTTAATATCTAAATTTCAAATCAATCTAATGTTAGCCTACTTTTTTATTTTATTATAATTAATATGATCTAGTCTCATATGTCATAAAGTAGAATCAACATTAACATCACAAGAAACATCGATATAAGCAAAATAAGAACTACTTTTATTATTATTACTAATAACATTCAAATAGTAAATACCATCAATTTTATTCCCCCATGTAAGAATACGACTGTGTTTTCCCTTAAAAATCATAAAAGACTGAAAATAGACTTCAAAACCCTTATCATCAAAATGTGACACAAATAAAACATTGCATTGCATATTGAGTGAATAAAGCACATTAGTCAATAGGAGGTTCTTTTGCTCAAACAAAATTCTCACATTGTCAACTCTAAGCATATCACAACAAGTATTATTTCTCATGTATAACTTGTATTTATCAGTTTTCACTTTTTTCATTTCAACAAAATTATCTCTAGTCTTAACCACGTGTCTAGAAGAGGCAGAATCAATCCACCAAAAAGAATCATAGTTTGCAAGAAGTGACTCAAAAACCATACACACACAATGTCTCTTGATCATTTTAAATTTTGATTATTATTCTTTTGAGTGCAATTTTTTTTTTTGTAATGACCGAGATGCCCACAGTTATAACAAGTATCCATTTGTTTTCCTTTAAAATTATTATGTCTCTTGAACTTATTATATTTTTTATTATTTCTTTTAAAGTAATTGTCTTTAGAAAAGACAAAGTAGTTGACATGGGGTACTACAAATTAGGTTTGACACATTAGTAGTTTTCTTTTTAACTCTTTCTCGGCCTTAATGTCTAACAATATATGTAATATTGCCATTCATAAATCTTGGCTGGACTTATTCAAAGAAATCACAACCGGTTCCCATGAATCATGAAGACTATGTAAAACAGTGAAAACTTGCATTTCGTCAAGAATTGGGTAACCTAGAGATCCTACCTCTTTAGCTATTACCACAAGTTTATTGACATGTTCAATAACAGACTCATCATCTTTCATAAAAATATCATTATATTTTTCAATTAAGAGTTGAATATATGTATTAGAGGCAGTATCTTAGGCTTGTGTTATAGCATCAAATATAGACTTAACAGTTTCATATTCCTAAAAAATGACCTCTAAATAGGGTTCCATGAAAGTAAGAAAAATTAACCTATCCAATCTATCCAATTTGTCATTATCTACGAACCTTTCGTAGGTGCTTCTAACAGTTTCTCTGGTCCTAAAGGGTGGTTATTTCGAGTATGGGTGTCAATAATATATTCAATTTTATCTTGAAATTAGTGATTGGCAAATGATAGACACAAGCATGCCTACCCCAGAGCCATCAATACATATTTATGTGAGCAAAATATATTTTTCTTGTCACAGAACATTGGACTATATACATTTTTAGTACTTAAAAGTACAAGAAAAATGACATTTTTGTTTTTAAATTATATCAATTTTGTATGTTGTATCACTTGTATCTCTAAACAAACGTGACATTTTCTGTTCAGTATATAATTTTAAAGACTATTAAACTCATATTATAGATTTTAGGTAATTTGACAAAATTAAAAATTGACAGATTAAAGTGATATTTCACATGAACTTCAAGGTCTAACGTTCGGACATGACATTTTGCATCATACATTTAAATGTTTGCCATTCATAGGATCATCTAATTGAAAATTTTAAAACTTGAGTGACACGAATAAAAATAAAAGTGAGATAAATAAAACACATATTTCATATAGCACGCATCACTTTATTTTGCTCCATTTACGCCATGTTTGGTAGAATAAAATGTTCGTAAATTTTTATTGACCTAATTTCCCGGCTGAGGCTATAGCGGCAGCTGCTTCTCAGCTACGCCAATCGAAAATACACAATCATCTTCTCTCTTGGTGGTAGCTTGTCCTTGATCACAGGGTGGTTGAGAAAGTTGTGCATCCATGCCACGGTGGCCGGAAACTTTGATGGGTCAACAATTGTCATGGAGCCAACTTCATCCCAAACAGGCAACAAGTAAGTGGTCCACCCTAGTGCAATGTCCAAATATCCAATTGCTTCCCCTGCAAAAAACTTATTTCCTTTCAGCTCTCCTTCTATCTTTTCTATGGCCTCCATGGATAATTTCATAGCTCTTTCCTTTTCATCTCCTTGGGAACACATAGCAGTCCATGCAGCTACCAAAAGCTATATGTATCTATCTATACTACTTCTAAATGTCAACAAAAGTGAAAAATATTTGTTTGACTAAAATAACTTTAACAAAATAACTAATCTCAATCCTATCTTTCTGTAATTAATATTTTTAAATTTTATATAATGTAATTCTCACAATTATTTGACTATTGAGTTGCTGAATATTGGTTGCTATTTTAATTTTTAATTCCTAAATATAAGTGAATTACAAAAGCTCAAACACTGGCAAATATTGATAAACCACTAAAATGCTATTGATAAACCCACCCCTTCGTCTATCTTCCTCTCTCCTTCTCTACCGATTACTTTAATCGGTCTTTCATCCCCTCCCTCTCTCCCATACACACACACACACACACAAACACAATTGAATAGGCAGTCGGCAGAGGATAAAAATCATAAAACAATCACCCACCACTAATAAAAATTCATAGGGTGTAGTTTCAAAAAATTTACAGTCCACTTTAGTCTTTCACCCAAATCAACTGTTTCTTTGCTAAAATGATTTTTATGACTGCTTTGGTTGTGTTGAGGGTCATTTATTGTTGATGGCTTATCTTCCTTGGTTGTAGATTTGTGTTAATGGGAATGGGTGTTCGTGAAGGTTCTGATTTTGTTTTGTGCAGTGAATTCATGGAAGCAACTACTTTAGTCTATTTTCTTAACAGCTGTCAAGTAGTGTAATGCAAAAGTCTTTCATTTTTGGCCAAATTTTGTTTGAGTCACAAAATTTTGTTTATTGCCTTAGCATGCTAGAGGGGGGTCATAGTAAAATCACCTAGATTGTTCCGTATTTTCTTCTGTTTCAAATTTATACTATAGAATCGAATTCTTGGGTTTTAGTTTGTGACTTAGAAAACTAAATGAGGATTAGAGATTATATGATCACCATTAATAGATTTCTATGGGGTTTGATATGTTTAGACATTAGACGCTTTTGGTTGACAACAAAATTCAAGTATAGTCAAATTTAAGAGTATTTGGAACTGGGTTATATTGAATTTTAATAAAACTGAGGAATGCTGTTGTGCATTATTATTTATGAAATTGATCAGAGTATATAATTTTGAACATAACCTAAGTATGCTATGAATAAAGCTATTTATAAAATATAATGTGGTGGAGATGACTGTTATTCATGAGGTTGTGACTTATTACTCCCACAGGGTCGTTACTTTAAGAATATGCAAATAAGATTGTGCATATACTTGTATATATAGAATATTGGAAGTTGAATTTATTCCAAAAAAAATCGTATCGATTGATAGCTTCATCGNTTATTTTATAATTTTTTTAAATTGTAAGGTTATTTCAATTATTATATAAAAATGTGTCATTATGTAATAAACTGGAAGATCATAAATAGAAGGTTGTTACCACGATTTTATATATATAAGAAATATTGTTGATAAGATTGATTTATAATTCTTTCAAATAATAAAAACATATTAGGGTCAATTATAAGTGACAATAATTAATCTCATTCTTGATAAGAAGTTTTAATTATTATTTTTTTTGTTCAAGTTATTCATATCGATTATTAATATTCTATATTTACTGAACTTTTAAGTATTCAACATAATTTCAATAAATAAAAATTTATGAATTTCAACGGTTAATTAAAAAAAATTTAAACGTGCTAATGTTCCCGCCCTAAAACTTTTTCCCGACTCCACCCCTGGATACACAGACTCAATTTTTGCTGGTTTTTGGAGAATAATTCACAGATGTTATCTCACAAAATATGTTGAAATTTTAACAATTCTAACTAGACTACAATTAGATATCCATCTTTCATGTTCTGGTAACAAGAGAGTCTTGAGCCAAAACAGTCAAAAACAATGGTAGTGCACTATAGCCAATTTAGTGAAGAAAAACAACGGTGGCTTCTGATGCCACCTCGAGATATAGTAGCAAAGGCACACATGCCAGTTAAGGACATAGTTTGTAGTCAACATCAAGCAATTTATTAATGCTATATTATAAGAAGTAACACCTATGGAGATACAAGTACTGCATTCATGCAGCACACATTGGGCAGAACTTCACTCGCCAAATTCCGAATATGGCCTAGTTTAGAAAAATAAGATCTAACTGCAATCAACAAGAGGCAAAATCAAAAATCAGTCAAAAAACAACCTCAAATACTGAAGTTTCACTACAGAAGATCCACAGCGCAATAAAACAGAACCTTACTATAACGATTATTTATAATCATTCACTGCTATAAGTCTGCATGTCTTGCTTTCTTTCTGCTCAGGGTGCAGCTAGACAAATGTGCCTATCACAGTTCATTGCCACATTTTAACATATCTCACAAAGGAGAGAAAAGGAAGACGATCCTTCCCACTTCCGTCAAAAAGTAACAGAACCTCCATCCCTTGCTCAAAAATGTGACTCGCGTTCCTTGGTTACTAAAGTAAAGAATCTTCAGCTTCAGTTGCTCCAATCCTACCCCTTTTGGTCCTCATAAATTACATTTGTGAAGCTTCCGAACATTCTGCTTCATCTTAAGCAGCAGCAACTGTAGATAATGACGATGCAGCAGGAGCAGCTGTTGTTAAGTCACTATGCTTCCTCTTCTTTTCATTCTTGCGGTGCTTATTTGAAGCTTGGTCAGCTTTGGAGACAATTTTTGAGACCGTAAACCCAGCAACTTCAAAATTGTGTGATCTGTGAGGGATTAATGCATTGCGAACAATAACATCAACTCCATCATAGGTCCAAACACCTAACCGAGCCTCTCCTTTGAGTCCAATGGCACACCAACCAAGACCAGCAGCAGCAATATCTACAGAACTTGAATCCCACCAGTTGCCGCTGACATGAAAGTCCCTTCTCAACCATGTTCCAAGCTCTTCAACTCGCCCCACCCCAATTGGCGGCTGAAACACAGATGGATACAAAAAGCATTCAGTCAGTTAACAAAACAAGCAAACTACCTCCCCCCCCCCCCCC